AGTATCACACGAAGGCCTTAGGTATCCGATAGACTATAGTAGAATGTCTTTCCTAAGGTTGACAGTCTTCATATAGTATAGCCAGGTTGTTCTTGAGCCAAGATCTCAGACCTTCCTGTAAATAGGACTTTAAACAACACATGGTGATTTTCTTCCCCTGATAGTTTTCATGGTAGTTAGCAACTTTATCTGTCCACATGCTTTTTAGAGTAGGACAAACAGAATCCCTCCAGACTGTCAAAATGTTTCCTTTTCTTATTGCTCCTCACCAGACTCGACAAGAGATTCAAATCTAAGATAGTCTCTGGCTCAGGTAGTCATCTGCAATAAAATTAAGAGAAACTTCTGCATCTTATTTGCATATTTCATTGTTCTCCTGTTTAACTTCCTCTTTGAACAAAACCATTAATTGTTCAGATAAGCATTGTTTACTCAGCGTATACACAGTGACTGAAAGTGTTCTCTCATTGGAATCATTTGTGTATTTCTGTTAACAGCAGTTCATTTTCATGGAATAGAGTACACACCATTGCTTCTTTGGAGATAGTTTCAGTAGCATTGAGAAATACCTGCATGTTTACTAGCAGCCTGAGTAACTAAGTAGTGACTTGTTGGGACTTCTCTGCATCCGCCCTTTCCCCGTCCTTTCTCCAACACATCCAGATGAATAATATGCTAAATCCTCCCTTGTATGTGCATTTGACAGCCCTGGGCACTGTCTGGGTTAACAGTACACACATAAGCCATCATTGTTTGCATGATACACCCCATTTGGGTATCTGGTTGGGCTGGATAGTATGTGCTCTACGTGGGGGTTGTGGCATCTATAAGAAGATGGTGCTGGCAGCCGTGTGAGACTCTGCCCATCACAGTCAGGTTTAGTATTTTCTTGGCTTGTAGGACTGTTGTGCTACAGAGAGACAGACTTTGGATTAGTGCCTAAAGTGTTGTCTCCTCATGTCTGAGATACACACTAGAAGAAATGTCATTTTTGCCTTGGGAAAGGAAAGACATAAGAGTTTTACAAAGACAAAGACAGTGTTCATAAGCACTTCATTCATTTGCTGTGGCTTCTGAAAGCGTGTCTCCACAGCCAGTCCCAAGTGTCCCAATTACAGAGCAGACTCTGTGTGACCTGTTAGGTTTTCCTTAGACAGTGGGATATGATCACACAAGACTGATTGCCAAAGTTTTGTTTCAGCTCAGATGCGGCTAAATGCAAGAAATCACTTCCTGACACCTTTTCCCTCTGACTGTCCCACCCTAAAAAATCACCATTTTGAAGCAAGTCCTGGGATCTACAAAATGTTCTGCCTATGTTCCAAGTTAATTTCGAGAGTGACTTTTTATGGCTAGTTTACAATCCTTAGAACAGCAGAGTTATGATGGAAACACTGTGACATCCTAAGCTGTAACAAACGAGCTGTTCTTGAAGATAAATGTAACTTTGTGTCTGGGAACCTAAATACTTCCTTTCCAAATGATTTAGTGTATCTTTGTTCCTGTCCACCCTAAGCCTTTTCTTTTTGTGCATCCCTTCATCTCTAAGTTACCTTTTTTGTAGCCCTTTTATATCAGTGTTTTGTGATGTTACAAAAAGCAAAAAGTGTGAGGTCAAATTTTCCATTACATAACTCAGCAGGAATGCCAGGGAACTTGGCCAAACTAAAGCTACAAAAAATAGAAATTACAGGAAAGATGATTCATTAGTCAACAATTGCCTTCCCAAGAAAATAGAATTAGTTATATGTAGTTGATTTGGGGAAGGGTATCAGTTCACACAGACAGATGGGAGAAGGGAGTAGGGGACAGTATTTTATGACTGGATAGCATAGTCTTAAACTTCATAATATTTGAAAATGCAACATGAGAGGAAAGAAAGCTCACTCTGTGCCTTGATTTCTCTCAGCATCTCCCTACCCCTTTTCACTACATGTTGTCCCTATCTATGATTTGATTTTATGCTAGAGAGACTCAGCCTGGGTAAGAGGAGCTATGGCTTCTCTTCCTCCCTTTCCTCTATTGTCTGAGCTGGCTCTCTCCTTCCAGTTCACAGTAGGTCTCTTTCCTCTTCCCCTTTGATTTCTTTGATCAGAAGATCAAAATCACTGTCCTTTCGAATATTGTAAGATTACTAGAAATTCTGGAACTTGTTTTTATTACATATTCAAGGTCCAAAATTTAGCTGGTAGAAAATTTAGCATGGAAGTTAGGGAAATCTCACATACTCCTGACAGTCTTAGAAACAGAACATTGTGATCATAGCACTCAGTGCTATAAATGCCTACTTGTGGGGAATCTTCTTTAACAGACAAAATCTAGTAAGAAAGCCAGCCAGTAGCAATACCCAGTAATAGATATGATGACTCTATTGCCTGACACTCCACTAACCATCCAGTAAGACCATGATCGTCATTAAATATTAGCCTATATCTCCAGCTATTCCCAGATCCATGTGCACCTCTGGCTCACCAAAGAATGAAAATGTCAAGGCACTCTTGTTTTATTTTAAATCTTTGGAAATTGGCAATTTGTGTGTGGTTTAGACACTGTTAGCTGGATTACATAATTAAGCATTCCTAACCATGCTGGATGATAATAAATTTACTGAAGAATTTTATTTCCTTTTATGGAGAACATGAAAAATATCAAAACCTGTTTTTTTTTTCTGTTTTGCCAAATAGTTGATAACCCAGTTTTCTTACCATTTCATCCGCACAAAGGGATTGCCGCATGAGAAATAAGCTTTTTAAAGCTACTTGTACTTGGATGTTTCTTGTGCAAAGCTGAAGCGGGTAAAGGAAAAGAATGTACTGATAATGAGAAACTGAGCCAGAGTCCCCAGGACTGGAGAACTGGGACGAGTGGAACAAGTCTACACTCCTGGCGGAAGAATGTGAAGCCTTGTGCTCCAGTAGCGAAAGGACCTCTCTGAGAGAGCAGCGCAGGGGAACAAGGAGCTGCACAACCTGCGTGAGTCATGGCCTCTGTGCGTCTGTCCCCACAGCTCGGCCTGGAGATCCGTGACAGAGCACCAGCAGAGGATGCTGAACTGTAATGATGGAAGTGAGCTCCAGGGTCTCAAACTGAAAAGTACTCTTCCCCAGTCCTCACAGCTCAGAGAAACATCTCTTCAAGCATTTTCACTAGTTTGTTCTTTCCTCCGTGCACCCTTTCACCCCACCACACATATACACACACATGCACAAATGTACACACACCACACACACGCCATACCACACACAGCAAACACATACACACGTACACCCACATCTCTCTCTTTCTCTCCCTCTCTCTCACACACACATAGGCACAAACACACACATGAACACACTACACCGCATAATACACATACACCTACATCATACACACATATAAGAAAAGGACTTTTATAGAGTAAACTGTACACTGTTTTCTTCCCTTGTTTTGTCTCTTTAAAAATCTCTCTGTTCGTGTTTCTAGTTAGATTAAATAAAGATTTTTATTATAAGAGTTTTATGTCAGAAACCCAGCTCTAGGAATTCCAGTGGACCAGGTACTGCCAACTAGCTCCAATATGCCAATTAATGAGATGAAAGTATTGAAGACAAAGGGAGATATTTAACCAATATAGGTATAGTAAGAAGGCAGAGGACCCGCTTCCTTAACCCTGCCTTCCAAGGGTACTGGCAGCAACTTCTAGGTTATATAGGAAAAGACTGAAGTAGTGGAGGATAAGAAGCATGCACAGAGATATGGTCGAAGTCAGACTGAGGTCAGTGAGAGCACTAACCAGAAGCTGTAAGAAATACCCTGTTGCTGAATTAGCCTCTATTAATTAATTAATTTGCCTCTAGTAAGTCAAAAGCTGTTAATGCAACTATCAGATCTGTTGCTCCTAGAAATCAAAAATGATCACAGGAGAATCATGCAAATTAAGGGCCATGGTTGCCAGTGGAGGGAAATGCTCTGAGTTTCTCTCATTGCACATCTGCAGGCCCAAGTCAAGAGTTGTTGCATTTTAGCAAAAACAGCTTCTAAGTCCTTCTTGCAATTTATTTGCTTAATTCCTGAATCTCAATTTGTTCAGGCTTATTGATGCTCAGCAAACTCTAAGTTCTCCTTTCTCTTATTCACAGCCCTTCTCAACTGGACTATCGATACAGGCCAGTAGATTCCAGTTATGTCACGCGTGGCATAAGAGACCGATTCCCTGCCCTTCTTATCATTTCCAGCCAGTCTCCACTCCTTTTATCCATCTAACTCTCCAACCATGTTGGTGAATAAGGACTTTGAAACTTCAAAATTTTACATCCCTAAAGCTTATGGAGAACCCTTTTGCTTTAAAAGATACTAAAAAGTAACATGTTAGGGGTGGGGAGACCTGTCTGGCCTGGTGATGCATGTCTTTAATACTAGCACTCCAGAGGCAGGAGGATCTCTATGAGTGCAAGGATGTCCTGGTCTACATAGTAAGCTCCTAGAGAGCCAGGACTACATACAGAGACCTTGTCTCAAAAAACCAAAAGAGAAATCAAACTAAAATTTTTGCTCTAATCCTGTGACTTGAAACAAATTTCTTTTGTTTAATGATGTGAGAAGTACCGACTGAGTACCTCACGTGTGCTGGGCACTGTACTGAGCATAATGGATACAATGTAAACTTTGCCCTCATCAGATTTGTATTCAGTTGGGTAACTCATAGAGACACAACCTTTAATAGGAGTTATATAAGTATTTCTATGTATATGTGTCAGAAAGAAGAAATGGGAGAAAGTTGAGTTAGAGGCAGAAAAAGCTACTCTGTAGTAGTTGTGCTAAGGTTCCCACGATGGGCAGGTGCTAGCCAAGCAAAGAGGATAAGGGCCTCATGATTGTAGAACAGCCTGTTCTAAAACACTAATGCAGGAGAGAACCTGGGACAAAAGAGGAGCTCAGAAGCTGGAGCCCTGGAGTGGGAGGAAGGGAGAAAGATAGCATCAGATTCAGCAAGGCACTTTAGGCGCCAGCAAGAATTTGTCTCGAAAAACAAAACAAAACAAAAAAAAAAAAAAAGATTTCTGATCTTTCCTAATGGCAAAGATTAGCCATTTAAATTACACACACATACACACGAGGCACACACACAAAAAAAGTCTCTGGTTTTCACTGTGTTGTCCAGGATGGGATCTTAGTTACAGACTCAAGCGATTCTCCCACACATGCTTTCAGAGTAGCTGGAGTCTAGGCTGCATTCTGTATGGAGTGAGCTACCATAAGAACTGAAAGATATTTGGAATGGGGTTGGGTAGCACGATGTGATCATAGCAGTGCTTTAAAATGACTCTCATTGTATCTCATCAAGTGGGATGATCCAAGATAAGTTCAAGGGGAGAACTGACAGAGCTTGCTTTCTCTCTGGATTTGTAGCGTTGCAGAGTAGGAGGCTGTCTCTTAAGACTTCCACTCTTCTAGAAAGAAGTACTGTTTCCTGAAGGGAGAATTTGCTTCTCAGCAGATAAGCAGAGGTCCCACGTTCAGTTTGTTAATTTATGCAAGTGGAGATGTCATAAAGTCATTGTGAAGAGAGATCCTTAGCTCAGAATATATGTCTAGGTTGGGACTTAAGTTGGGTAGCAGCTTACAGATATTTAAATGTGAACATGGATGAGCTTAGGAAAAGATCCTGGCTCCAGGAGGAAGGTCAGAACTCTGTCAGCCCTCTGTAGCCACAATGGTAAGTGTGGAGATAGTGTTATCTGTATGTTAAACAGGTTGTGGAGTCTTAACAAAATACAGCCTATTACCCAGCTAGTAATAAGTGTTTGTTATATAGTAATTATCACAGCATTTAACAAAGTCTTAGAGCCTCGTTCTGTGGGCTAAGATGGCATTGGTTAACAGGAATGGAGTTCTACTAATGAATGTGTGAAAGATTGAACACGTGTCTGTAAGAACTGAGATAAAGGCACTGGCTTTCAGTATATCCACATATACAGTTTTTCCCTAATTTTCATTTTCCGCTTGCAAACAACCTTCTATTATTCTCCTACTGAAAAATCTGGCGTTTTCATTTTCTGCAGATGAATCATTGGATCTCTGTACGCCTTGTGAGGCTGGGTGACCAGGTTTGTGGGTTTCTCACTGCTGCTGCAGTGGCTGATTGATTTGCTAAGAAATATCTGGGTGTTCTTTTTAACATTCGCCTTAGGAAGGCAAAGCATTTCCATTTGCAGACAGCAGCTTTGTTGTGAATGTGGGGCAACCACAGAGCTGTAACACACTACACATGTCGGCACGACTGTCTGGGCCTCTTGGCATTACTAATGATGGTAATGATCCCACTCGGTGCAGGCAGACCCTCCCTGCAGCTGGTGTCCTTTCTGCCTGGGGATGAGGTCATGCGGGTGGGGGAGGAGGTGGAGCTGAAGAGGATGAGAGAAGAGAAGGGGAAGTTGTCCCAGTCTGCATTCTTGGTGGAAAATGGAAACATATTTGCCACATGCTTGCTTTGTTAATTTTTTAAGGAAGGGGAATTAAAAGACAAGGGAATAGTAAAGGATTGTGGGAAGGCGACAGATTGGCTCTTCCCCCGTCCCCCGAGGCTGCACAGCTGTCAGTATTCACCACCACTGCCCAGGAATCTTCTAGGACACTGGCAACCCTGTAAGTCCAATCTCGCAGATATGTGAAACTGCTCAGAGCAGGAAATGCCAGCTGTTTAGATGCCAGTAACTACTGTACAATTGCAGATTGTGATTCAATGCAGTATACGCCTTGTTCTGCTCCAGGTGTGCTTAAACCTGGGATGTTCGGGATTCTCTTCCCTTGACTGTGAAGTTAAAGGTATCTGATCATGCTTCATCTCTATCAAAGTTGTCAGTGAAAACCAATAAGCTCCCTTTCTGTGGTTCACTAGCAGTCCAGCTGGTGCGCCGCGGTATCCTTTCTAGAGCCTGCAATGCCCTCTAAGTTCTCAGCTTGGCATGTTGTAGTAAGTAGTTGATGGAATTGCACAAGGAGAGAGGGCTTAGGACCGAAGGGGAAACACTCTGGCCTGTGCGGGATCAGGCCTTCAATCAGCCACTTGCCCATCTCTATTCGGGGCCAGTCGCGACCAGCTGGAAGATGGCACTAAAGCTTTGCAAAAATCATCTGAATGCCCACATGGAAAAGAGGGCTGGTTCACTTTTGTGTGCTCAGAGCTTCATCCGGGTTACCTCACGCAGGGAGGGTGAATGGGTAAGGAGCCAGTTTACCTATTTTCCACATTGGTTTTTTTTTTAAATATTTATTATGTAAACAATATTCTGTCTGTGTGTATCCCTGCAGGCCAGAAGAGGGCACCAGACCCCATTACAGATGATTGTGAGCCACCATGTGGTTGCTGGGAATTGAACTCAGGACCTTTGGAAGAGCAGGCAATGCTCTTAACCACTGAGCCATCTCTCCAGCCCTTCCACATTGTTAATAGCTGCAGCAAGTGAATGTGGGGGCCACACCCCTAAGTGCTAGAGAAGGGGGCTGTTGTTAAGTGATCATCCATAATACTGACTCCTGGCTTGATTTTTCAGATTGTACTGTAAATAATACTGTCCCCAAGTTGTAAAGGTCCTAAACCTTACCCCCAATTTTTTTAGGCCTTAGTTTGGGCGTTTTTGTTGTTTTGTCTTGTTAGGAGTAGGATGGGAATAATGATACATTCTCTGCCACCTCCTAGGATCATGTGAGGATTAAATCCTAAATTTATATATTTAATAACATATTAAATATATTTAATAATAAATTCATAGGTGGTAAGGGGTCATTGGGAATTCTATGTGTTTGTTTTTAAAAAAAATAAAATGAACTTGTCAAAGAAAGTAATGAGACAGCATTTATTAGTGTGGTTGTTAATCCATCTTTACCGCTTATCCACCTTTAATGCCAGCCCTTAGGAAGCAGAGCCAGGAAGATCTCTGTAAACTCAAGGCCATTCTGGTCTACACACTGAGACCCTGTCTCAAATCAAAACAAAACGACTAGTGAGAACTCCCCTCTCTCTTTGTGTAAAGCTTTGATAACATGAATTCGAATTTTGCATGTTAAAATACCTAAGTTACGAGGCATTCCTTTAAAATACCCTTATCGTTAGTAACTCCTAAAAACAGCAAGTTTTATTAAACTACTGACAGAAAGATTGAGTGATCACAAACAAAACCCTAGTGTTCTGTATGTAAACGCTCGCCCCGTGGTTTGTACCTCTCTACACAGTGATTCAACTGCAGGTGTCCACTGGGAGACCATTCTGTCCCCTGGGACAGTGCGCCCCACTGAAAGAACCTGGAGTTCCTCCACCACTGTTCAGTGACCCTTACCAAATCTCCCACCTCTCAGAATTTGGGCATCTTTGTTTTCTAAGTGTCAGAGCCTTTGAGGGCTTTGCTTGTGTGTGTGGGAGGGGGGATTCCCTGCTCTTCCCAGAAGGCATTTGTAAAAAAGGAGGGCATATATTTTGGCTGATAAAATGACAGAGCAGGGTGTTTGTTTCCACTTTTTGCATAGAGGTAGATCTTCTACATAATACCCCACTAAAGAACACTAGGCCATAGCTTAAGAGAATGAAGGAGTCACAGTTAATAATAAAAGTGGTATTAGATATATGGTCCAACTAGCCACATCCAGTTCTACTTCTCTGCTTTTCTTTCTTAGCCTGTCTCACAAATATGAGATCCCAGCCCTCATATCCTAAGTCTACAGCTCATAGAATGGGACTGTCTGGACCACACCACACACCTTCCATTGTCTGTTTACCTTGAAACTGAGCTATGACTTTAACTGGCCGGTTCACCTCTTTATCCCCAGAGTCCCCTCCTTTCTGGGCTCAGCAAGTAGTCTGTGGCAGCTGCCTTCAGCATTTGTTCAAGGTGGGTGGGGGAAGAGAGGGAATAGATAGAAAGGCTGCAAAGCCAGCCCTTCCCTGCAGCTGGAGCTAACCAGAGCAAGCTGCAGACACAAACAGCTCACTCCAATTCAGTCAGTGGCCACCCTGGAGCCGTATGTGTGGGTGCAAAGTTACTGTGACACATTCCTCGTGGGGTGGGAGGGAAGAAGCTGTGCATGATGTTGGAAATGCCAGATGATTCTCAAACCACTCTCGGAGGCTGTCACTTAGAGAGGAAAACAAAACACAAAGCAGAACTCCTTTCTTCTGGCCACCTCAGGTGCAGGAAACAGCAGGTGCAGGTGCTGGTCCCCTGCCCACGGACAAGCCTGCGTTCCCGAATTGTTTAGCTCTGGGCTTTTCTCTTACTTATATTTATCTTAAGCTTTCTAAATTGTATTTTATTCTTTAAAGGAAATCTGTTGTGCAGAATTTTGTAAAGCTTGACATGATGGCCTGGAGTGGGCTAATTGTTTAAATATGGGCTTGGACAATTGTTGAAAAGTGCTTTTGTTTATATCATGGAATGTAAGTTACCACATACACAATAGTCTATTTTCAAACCTAAATTGATTTCATCTTAAAGGGATTAGTGGAACATTACGAAAAGAATATTAATTTTTGTAGGGGTTTATGTGGTGTATGTGTTTATGTATGTGGGGGGGTATGAACACACATGTGTGTGGGTGGAGGAAAGAGGTCAACATCTTGTGTCTTCCTTAATTCAATTCTACCTTATTTTATGGGACAGGATCTGTCACTGGCCCTGGAAGTGACTGACTGAGCTAAAGTGACAGCTGGTGAACTCCAGGGAGCCATTTATCCTTCCATGTCCCCCCTCACCATGCCTCATGAGCTGAAATTACAGACATACACCTCAGCACCTGGACTTTTTGTGTGTGTGTGTGTGGGTTCTGGGGTCCAAAACTCAAGCCCTCGTGCTTGCTTGTCAAGCCCTTTACTGATGCGGTCATCTCTTTGGCCCAAACATTAATTCTTTATGTCAGAACCAAAGCTGATGTCTACACTCGGCTGGGCAGAACTGGGGAGCTTTGCCTCCGGCTTGACTAGCTCTCCTGCTCTGTTCCACCTTTCCTTTTCACTCAGTGTTGGCGGCTGCGCCTTTGGGAGTACGGGAGAGGAGCACATTGCGACCGTGCTGGCCTATAACTATTCTCTTCACTGATTTCGTGCCTCTTCCGGGATGGAGAGAACCCTGACTTTACCATGAAGCTCAGAACTTATAGAAAGGAATAGTGTTAATTTGGAGAGGATGTTGGTTTTTCTATTTTTTTTTTAATTACTCAGTGTTACAGGGAGGATTTTAAAAGTATCAAAATATATTTTTAGGAGGGACTTTTCTTTTTACTAATTGTTCCCTCATTCCTAAAACAAATGCAGTACAGTACGACAGGTAATACTTGAGGTAGTCAGGGTGTTTGAAATTCGGAGCCAGAAGTGATAATAGAGGATAGAAATACATACTGTCTGTGCCATTATGCATAATGGCAGCTTAGCTTTAAGCTCTTTGGTGTCTTAAGCCAAAAAGAAAATAATTTCTAAATCACCATACTCACCTAGCAGGATACCTTTATTAAAAACCATTTGTCCATTCATCTGCCAACATTTTTTAAGATTTATGTGCCGTGCTCAGTATGAAAATATATAACAATCTTGAAGTTGATATTAAATATGGTTCAATGCTAAAATTGGACAGTAACCTAATTATGAGAAGATTTAAATTAAATCAGAAACATTTTAATGGTTTGCGTTGTTTTTAGCATGTGTGTGTGTGTATGTGCATGCATGTGTGC